TCCATATTGGTTTAGGAAAAAAAAAAAATTAAAACACATTCTCCCATGTTACTACTCCTGCCAAATCTCTAACAGTGAATTTAGTGGAGAAACATACGCTGCAGGCTCCTCCTCACTTCACCAGTGAGCTCTCCATCTTGTGTTCATCTTTATTCCCTAATACCTAGCACACAGCTGGCCCCAATAACTTAATACTAAACCACCGTTAAAATATCTGTCACACTGGAAACCAGATTCCTGAGCCGACTACATGGTGTTACAGATTTTTCTGGGTGTTAAAGACTCCCGAAAGGTTTACAAATCCTTCTCTCCTTTGTATTCCTTTACCATCCCCCATGAAAGTGTGTCTTGTTTATTTCACTATTAGACAATACCCAAGTAATATCATCCACAGACTCTCCACTTGCCTACAAACAGTTTCTCTGCGTTAGTCTCTAGCCACTCTGCTCAGTCCTTTTCAATGCCAGCACACTAATCCTACTTCAACTCATCCCAACCCGATCAAAATCCCCAGTGGTCCAATATTACTGAAAACAAACGTCCCCAAACTTCAGCACGCATACAAATCACCTGAAAGGCTTGTTAAAACACAGATCATACAGCTGCATCCCTAGAGTTTATAATTTAGTAAGTATAAGGTAGGGATAAAAATCTGCACTTTTAATATGTTCTCAGGGAACACTGGCCCAAAGCAATGGCTCCCAATTAGAGGATCCTAAATAAATAGAACAGAATCACCTTAGGACCTAAAAAAAAAGAAAAAAAAAACAGAAACAACAGAATCCAGTCCTTATCCACAGTGATTCTCATTCAGAAGGTCTAGAAGGGGGTTAGGAATCAAGCCCTGGGTAAGTTAAATGCATACCCTGCCTCAGAAACCATCAGTCTGAAAATTATCACAAATGCCTTACATGACACTAAAGGCCTTCCACAAGCCGCGCCCAAATCCACCTAGCCAAACTTACCTAGTCCACAGAAGAAGCCGTCACAGCTCAGCCATTCTTTTTCTCACTTCTCTCCGAAGACCGTTCGTTGTCCATTCCCTCTGAGCCACGTAACACCATCTCACTTGCCGTTCCAAGTACCTGGAGAACCATTGCCATCTCCTCCCCGCTCCTGTGACTCCAGGAATCAGCTCATCATCAACCCCAAAACCCTCTACTGGTCCATTCCACATGTTTCAGCACAATTATATGACACACTGTGCCAAATGCCTTCTTATATCTAGCAACATCAATTCATTTGTGTGCCTGCCACTGCACACACCCAGTTTATTGACAGGTAACAGCCTAATATCACTCAGTAACCTGTGGCCTAAAATAATTTTTGAAGGAACCAGAAAATACAGAGAGCTAAAAACAGTTTAAAAGTTGCAAAATAATTTTTATTGTATAAGAACCATTTAAAATATTTAGATGAACTTCTTATTCAAAAATGCTTCATTTCTCAAATCTGTGGCTTAATAAAGACGAGTAGAATAGATAGTTAAGAAACAACCACAGATTAATTCAAGTCGTGACCAAGGTCATTCTTCCAACATATGTCTAAGAAAACAAAAAATGGGGGCAGCAAAGTAGATAAGAGGAGGAGAAAAATGGACTACAAGAAAGGAAAGAAGCAAAGAACACAGTTATACCTGGATCTCAAACCAATTAAACAGAATAAATGAAATGAAATGATACTTTTATGTGAGACACCTCACCTTGTATTATTAGATCAATTTTAGTTTGATATTCTTTATCTGTCAAATAGCTTATGCCAATGACACATGAACACATTAACATCAAATAGTAACAGTATTTCCAAGTGCATGATTTGGGTACTACCAACTTACTGAGAGCTGTAACACACAACTGAGACTTCTTTTATGTCTTAAAACACATCTTGGGGGGGTGAAAGCGGGGAACAGGAAGTAACTGCCAATGGACGCAAAGTTTCTTTCTAGAGTGTTGAAAATACTCTAAAACTGTATCGTGGTGATGGTTGTACAACTCCATAAATTTACTAAAAACCACTGAAACCTATACTTTAAATGCATGAATCTTATGCCATGTAAATTATCTCAATAAAGCTGTTTAAGTAGGCAAAACAACTCAAATCATAATATGAAGGTAAGATTCCCAAATCACTTCATTTGAAACCAAATGGGTGAGAGGTGTAAGTCATTCCATGAAGCCACAAACCTGTATTTTAAATCATGTTTACATCTCAGCTGTTCCTGTCTGATGGGACTTCCTTAGTTCCTTAGTATATTATAAACATTTTTAATACAAGTTGGTGGGGTTTTGTTTTCAAAAGTGTGGGAACTGTGTATGTTGGACAAATTCAAACTAAATAGAGCTAAGTAAGGCATATCTTACTTTGTTCAAAACCATAATTAATTCTTCGTGATAGTATTATAAATACCATCCTAATAGACTTAAAAGTGGTTTTCAACTTACAACATTAGTCTAAGTTGGTCAAATATCAGATCATAGGAATTCATAAAGTAGGAAATACCACGTATTCTAATAGTGTCCAACATGTTTGCATAATACAAATTACTAGTATTCCATGGTATCTCTCTTTCTATTCATATACTTTTAATCTACCTATATTTATCTATCCATCTATCTATCTATTCGAGAGAGAGAGAGAGAGAGCATGCAAGCGGGGATGGGAGGGAGGGGCAGAGGGAGAGAGAATCTTAAGCAGGCTCCTCACCCAGCACAGAGCCTGCCCTGGGGCTCGATCTCACAACCCTGAGATCATGACCTGAGCCAAAATCAAGAGTCAGACACTTAACCAATTGAGCCACCCAGGCGCCCCAAACTGTATCTTTATATTTAAAGAGGATCTCTTAAACCCAAAGTGACAAACCCAAAAAGACAGGGGTATGTTCTTCAAAATAGCACTGAGAAGTGAGTGGACATTTTTGTCATTGGTTCCTCTAAGCACTGTGTCTTTTTCCTTTGGCTATCTTTAAGACTTTTTTCTTTGGTTTTCAGCAACCTGATGATGATGTGTCTAGGTACTGGTTTTCTTTGTGTTAATGTTGCTTAGGATTTGTTGAGCTTCTTGGATCTGTGGGTTTATGTTTTTCAACAAATTTAGAAATTTTTGGTCATGATTTCTTCCGAGAATTTTCTGCCCCAATAACTCTCTCCCCTCTCCTCTGTACCTGCAACTACAAAATGTTAAACTGCAGGATACTGCCCCATTATAGATAATATGGCTTTGTTCAGTTTTCTTTGTAGTCCGCTTTCTCCCTGTGCTTCATTTTGGATCATTCCAATTGATTCATCTTCGAGTTATCTGATATTTTCTTCTATAGCAGGCAATCTGCAGCTAAAGCCACCTGGTAAATTTTTCATTTCAGATATTAATTTTTATTAATTTTCTTAAATCCCAGTTAGAGTCGCATTTTTCTGCTTTTTTCCAAGCATAAATGTATGCTGGACACTGTGGATGCTTCACTACTAAAAAGGTGGATTGTCTTACTTTGGAGTGAGTTTTGCTCCGGCAGGCAGGTGGATCAGGCTGATGGATCAGGTGGATCAGGCAGGTAGATCAGGCTGATGCTGTGGAGACTTGGTTATGCAGGATCTACAGTAACCCCTACCCTACACCCAGAACAGTCCTCTTGCCACAACATAACCTTTCTGAGGCCACATCTGAAAGAACAGGGTGCTCAGCAAGTTCACCCCGCTCTGGGCACTCTGAACTCCAACAGTCCTAAGCATCTGGCAACATCTGGAATTGCGGTTCAACATACAGTCCCATGGTGGCCATTTTCTGCCAAACCTTATGGTGCGTCTATGTAACTCTGTATTTGACCAAAGGCCCAATGGCACTCTTTTCAGACTGATGGGGCACCTCCTCTATGCAATTCCCTCTTCTCCACCTCCACCATCCTAACCCACAGATTCTAGCTGCCTCCACATCCCCAAACTCTCATCTCAGCCTGCTGCTGTCTGCCTCGATTTCAGTTCCCTATGCCACAGCGTGGCAGGTGTCCCCCAAGAGGAAGCCGGGATGAATGCGGGATTCACTTCATGTGTTCTCTGCTCTCAAATGAATGTGCTGACTGCCTGAGTCCATCCGGTTTTAGACTTGCTTACAACAGGAAGTAACTTCATCATGGCTAGAACCAAAAGTCCCTCATTCTATTTTTGAAATGGCTTTGAAGTCTATTATCTCATTTCATCCTTAAAATAAATACGGGACATGTCTGTGGGAAAAGCACATATATCCATGATATTAGTAAATCAAGATATAAAACGTTAAAGAACCAGTTTCTTTTCTTTTTTTTTAATTTTATTATGTTATGTTAGTCACCATACAATACATCATTGGTTTTTGATGTGGTGGTCCACGATCCATTGTTTTTGTATAACACCCAGTGCTCCATGCAGTACGTGCCCTCCTTAATACCCATCACCGGGCTAAACAATCCCCTCTCCCCTCACCCCCTCTAAAACCCTGTTTGTTTCTCAGAGTCCATAGTCTCCCATGGTTCGTCTCTCCCTCCAATTCCCCCCCC